AAGGCCCTGCTGTGCCTTTAAATGTAGCTGACCAAAAGCTTCTTGAAGCTAGCACACAGTTTCAGAAAAAACAAGGAAAGAATACTATTGATGTCTGGTGGCTTTTTGATGATGGAGGTAAGATGGCTAATATGTATTTTGAGTAATTTTAAACATCCTGAAGTTCTGAGAATAGTAACAAGAACTGGCATGCACTCTTCACTCATAGACCCCCAGTCCACTGTGCCAACATGCCCGCAAGAAAAGGATTCGTTTCAGAATCCGGCACAGCAGTTTGCTGTCAGGCTCCTCCGGTGTCCTTCAGTGTGGCAGTTGCTGTGCACGTCCTTGAGCTTCATGGCCGTCACGTTTTTTTCAGTATTACAGAGCATTTTGAGGGGCGTCACTCAGTCGGTGTGCTGGGTGCTGTTTCTCATGATCAGTTTCAGATTATTTTTGGCGGAAATATGACAGAAGTAATGCTGTGCTCTTCTGTCTGCATCTCATTAAGTGGTGCATGATTTTATCCCATAATTGATGAAGTCAGCTTGCAGGGTGGTCTGTCTGCTAAGTGTTACTGTCCCCTCATCGTGGGTCCTGGAGGTGGAGGGGTGAGGGGAGTTCCTTTGAGACTCGTTAAGTTTCTCACTTGACCTTTACCACTGTCTTTTGCATCTTTTGCACAAATGTTTCTGCCTGAATTTATTGTTGTTGTTGTTGTGGTTGCCAAGTAATAATTTGCCAGTCCTGTCATTCTGATTTATTAGTTGCATGTTACTGTAAGGAAGAGTTCTCTCTTTACAGAAGAGACTCATTGATTCCTGTTTTATCGAATGGGGTGTAATTTATTCCTCTCATTGTTTTGATGTTGGATTTGTCCCATGTTTAGCTAGTGGGATCCTCCATGGGCTGATTTCTGTGTCTATTTTTCACGTCCATTCATTCTTTTTGTTACTTTCTGACATGAGATGATGTTATAGGCTCAGTTTGTAGTTTTGTATTTTCTCTACACCAGCCATGGAAGCAACCCTTTATCTAAGGAATGCTGACTCCTGTTAATGGAGAATAGTATTTAGAAACAAAGATCAGGGCATTAGATTTGCTACTGGAGTGTCACTGTCCCTAGGGCCCCTCAGAGGACAGAGCCAGAAAATACACGTGTGTCTGTGTGTGTCCGTATTTGTTTGTGTGCAGGTGTAGAGAGAGATCAGGTATTAGTTTCAGTCCAGTGCCTTTTCACATTTCTCATTTAAGTGCTCAGCCTGACTCCCATAGGGTCGTCCAGTGTGCTCGTTTCCTCGGTCCTCCTGGGTGTGTCCAGTCTCCCACCAGTAGGGTCGTCCAGTGTGCTTGTTTCCTTGGTCCTCCTGGGTGTGTCCAGTCTCCCACCAGTAGGGTCATCCAGTGTGCTCCTTTCCTCGGTCCTCCTGGGTGTGTCCAGTCTCCCACCAGTAGGGTCGTCCAGTGTGCTCCTTTCCTCGGTCCTCCTGGGTGT